CTACCACTACTACCACTACTACCACTACAACCACTACTAGTACTACAATTCCGACTACTACCGCCGCAGCCACCACTGTTCCCGCCACGACTAAACTCACTACCGTAGCAGCCAAAGAATCCACAGGCACACCTTGTCCTACAGCTCCAACAACTCCATGCCCAACGTATCCTACCACACCGTGTCCGACTTATCCACCAGCGAGAGCGAAACGGGAAGCGAACATCGCAAACGAGGATGTATTCCGAAAGAAAGCAAAGCTACCCAAAGCCCCGCCAGGTAAACATGGATGCGGTACAAGTAATGACGGGCTCACAAAACGCAATAATGATGGGCTCACAAAATGCAATCTTAAACCCAGTAAGGAGGAGGAGGTATAGAAAATGCTAAGCCCATTTTTTATATCTTGCTCAGGGATTCGCGCCACGCGGGCGGTCCTCCTATAAGGGCTAGCGTACAAGCGGTTAACATAAGCCTAAAGCTTCCGTGCGTCGGCAAACAGCTGAAGCGCCGTCCTAGAGGCAGACAATGTCACCGTGCAAACGGTTTGCAATACAAGTGCTCGACGATCGGCCAGCAATGCGTCCGTCTTATCGGTCGGCATTACCTGCTGCCGTGCAAACGGCCGACAGTGACCTCTATCTTCTGCTCACTATTTTCACACATTGTGAGCTCAAACGGTACCTGCGTGAGATACGACGCAGCGTTTAGGCTGGCTAAGCGTTGACATATCTTGTTACCAACATTTTCCTTCCCCAACAAGGCTGGAATGAACCTGTGTGAAGTCACAGTTTTCAAGAGTGATAGTGTGGGCTTCACCATGGAAAGTTTGGCCACTGCTGCAAGCATCGTTCGATGTTCTCAGAATGTAAAAAGGACTAACATATCCAAGAAAAATGGTCAGGATATCCCAAATATTAGCTTGCTGCATAAGTTCTGTCCGATTTGAATTTTTTGATCAAAACGTCGTAACTTTTTTCAAAGTCAACTTTTTTCCAAGATCTTAGTTTTATCTGTTGAGCAGTTCCTTGGCCTAAAACGCATATTGAGAGCTGCGCAAAATCCTTGTTAAGAAAGAAGCAAGAATGCAAAAACTGCACAGCGTTTTTCTTCAAACCTATCTTTTTTGACATGGCAATGCTTTCTTATGAGGATTGATAGGCATCTTATTCAACAATGGATAGATAGAGAATTTTTCGTAGGTTATTTTGCAGCATTAAAGAGCCCATAGGGTCTGCGTTGCCGAGAGATTTTTTTGACCAAACAAAAAAGAAGCCACCTTTTGACCTCGCTTCAGCACATGTGTGCATGCCTATTTACGAATTATGAAAATTTTGCAACTGACGTGAGCGCCGAAAAGGAACAGGTGGATGGGCCCTGCTAGCTCTTGCTTTGCCCTAGCATCTCCAACTTTTAGCTTATCGATTACTTCTATTCGCAGAAAGTTATTGCTTGTAAAACATCTATACAAAAAATTATTGTTCGACGATTTCTTATAGAACCGAACTTCTGCATATACTAGCTTTTTACATCCTTATTCCGTACCCAATGAAAGAACATTGAAGGGCGCATTGTGGAGATTTCCTCGCAAGTATCTTTTTAAGATGAGAGCGTACCTCGGCCACTTAGAGATTTTGAGCCTGAAATTTCCGTACACTGAGAAATTAACTGAAATTTGATATGCCTTAGGCCCGTATGCACGTACATCCCCGCGGGGAGGGGATGTGCACTTAACCATTGAAATGATCCCCGCTGGGGATCCCCTCCCCTCCCCGCGCGAACCCCCGCATGCACAAAGACAATATCGGACAAGGGATCCCCTGTGGGGAGTGGAAGTGAACCCTCTTATGCACAACAGGGAATCAAGCGGGGAAATTGCCTTGCTTTCATATTTTCTATGAAAAACACTTTCTTATTTCATATTTTAACTGTAACTCATCTTCATCTCCTCACTTTCATTAATTTAGGGTTGCGGAATGCGCGTATGCAGTGACTGGGCTCGGGGCACTAAAAATGATTTTTTGTACTCCCATTATGTTCCTGCTTTCTTGGATGCTGCCCACTTTCGCTCATGCTGCTCCATTTCAGCATAAAAATGTTGAACTATAGAAGTTGATGTGTCTCTGCAAGGGAATGGGTAGAAGACGTTATGCCGCCGAAAAGGGGGGGGGTGCCGCGCGGACGCTCAAAGCTGTATTCTAACACATAACAGAAGCTGCAAATTGTGCCAGCTCTCCATAGACGCTGTAGCTATCAGCTGCATATCGTCCTTTGTCCCAGGGGAATGATCCCCAGCAGCGATCTCTGCTATGCACAAGGGGAACGCTGGGGAGGGGATCACTCCCCAGGGGATTTCTACTCAGAAATAGGCAAATATGCTACTTTCTAGGTTTTTTCGAGGCAGCTTATGTTAAAATAACAGGATAATGGCAACATGTCATGAAATATGAAATTTAATGTGTTTACTCAGCCTATATAGTTAAAACTATTATGTTATATGAAAAATGCGCAAATTTCCTGAATGATCAAGAACTCCTACAAATAATCGAAAATGGCAGCTATTGTTGCTCGGATTTCTTCTTAAGAGGCGAATATAGAAAAGAAAGACAAAATGCAAGCCACAGGTCGCTGAGAGAAGAACCCGGCTTTCAAAGAAAATCCTCCATCAAAATGAACGAAATGCTTGGTAATGACTGAGCAGAACCAGAATATCCGCGTCTTTGGCATGATCTACACCATCGAACCCCTACTTCGTTGCAGGGGATGCCGATCCCCTCCCCCGCGTTATTGAGTTGAATTCGCGCATACGGGGTTCGAGTGGGGGAAGGGAAGGGATCCCCTCCCCCATTCGAACCCCGTATGCACTGGGGTTCGCTCGATCAATACCTCTGAAACCATTCACACCATCCCCGCTTAGGTGCAGGGGAGGGGATCGCTCCCCTCCCCTCTGTCATGACGGGGTTCGGCGGAGGGGATCGTTCCCCTGGGGATCCAGCTCCCCTCCCCTCCCCAGCGGGGACGTACGTGCATACGGGCCTTAGAAAGAGCAAGGAAAGCACTTTCTAATCATACTAAAAATACTGCATTAGAGATGAAATTCTTTTAGAACAGCTGGTTCAAACATAAGGCAAAATCGGATAGAACTTATGCACCAACCTAATAGATCCACTCCAACAGCAAGCGAGCGGTCGACCTTCCCCACGCAAGCGGCGAGCGTTAGGTTAGGAACCGTGCGGGCGCCTCACGTTAACCGTGCCAACGGCCCTTGACGACCGTGCAATCGCACACACCGACGAGCGATTGTAGGGTCATCGCTGCCCGCCCGCACGGCGCGAGTCCCTCGGTGGACGTGTTTTTACGCCCTATTTTTAGCAGGAATCTAAACCAACTCTCCAGTTAGTCTAAATGAATGATAAAAGCATAAAAGATGGAGATGTTTCGAATTTTTGTGTGGAGATGGACAGAAATGAGGGTGAACGAGCACGAGTTATTGACACTCATTGGCTATTTCTTCTTGTTTACCCCCCGCTAAACTTTAGTCGGTAATAGATAGGGGAGGGGGGAAGAAGCTGCCCTAAAATGCTGCTGAAAGCAGTTATATCAGCACACGAAAAAAAACTAGTTTGTACGATCTGTCTTGCAGTTTGCCATATTATAGTAACTGCATAGATTTCCTAGGCACAGAAACATGAATTGTCGGCAAAGAACATGACCGAAATAAAAGATTTTTTTAGTTATTTCACATCAAACAGCTTTGAGAAAGAGTGATCAGATCAACGTCAGAAATTCAGTACATACTTCAGTACATACTTACTTTGAAATAGATCTGCAAAATTTCTGCTGCTCTTCTGATACGATAATTCAAAAAATTGGCTATTCGCTTTTACTTTCTCTTGTTATTTTCCTCTTGTTCAATTTTTCAGAACCACTCAAGTTTAGGTGATAATACCATTTGTTCCGACAATGAAGGCATGACAGATCCGCTAAGAACGCTTTTCCTCAATTTGCATAATTATCGCAGGTAGTGAAAATTCTTTAAACTAAATGGTGATAATGATCTGCAAAGTGTTTTCTTATTTCAGGGCTAAACTAGCTCTGGGAGAAGTTTTCGGTTATGGTGATAAGCGTCTACCACCGGCTAAAAATATGTTGAAATTGGTAAGTGAACCAATGCTAATATGTTTTTTAAAAAGTAGCAATTTTCCGACAGAACTACGCTTGTAAATTGGAAGCGTCTGCTCTGCAATATGCTGCTGATTGTCCATCAGTGAGATCTACAGAGTTTGCTAGGCCAAATCAAGGAGAAAACTTTTTGCGTCTAGCAAAAGATGGATTTCCAAGCTTCACAGATGCAGTCAACATGGTAAGCTAGACCATAACTTGAGAGGACCTTTAATTCGTCTATCAGACTGTTTATAATTGGTGGAATGTTGTCAATGATACTCCTGGCATTGACAATACTGCAAAGCTTAAAACTCGTCATCTTCGCTCGCCTATAACATCGTTTATTCAAGTAAGTATAAACTACTCACAAAATAGAAAAAATAATAACAAAATAAATATCTGATGACGTCTTGGCAGATGGCATGGGCAACGACTAGGTATTTGGGCTGTTCCGTAGCTGACTGTAAATCATACTATGTCACCGTTTGCAGATACTCACCAAAGTAGGTGAATTTGATGGGCTTAGGCATTATTTTTTACACAATTTGTACAGGGGAAATATCGCTGGAGAGATTGCTTATAAGCCTGGCCATACTTGCACGGAATGCAAGAGTGGAACAACATGCGAAGAAGAATTGGGGCTATGTGTGTGAGAGACTGCAAACTTGGGCAAGAAGAACATTGCTACTCTCTTTACTACGTTCATATTGCTATTTTGTAATTTATCCGTTGTATTGAGAATTTACTTACCAAACCTCAATAAACCGTATATTTAAAAGCAACTTAACTTTGCATTTACATTTTTTAAAGGGTTTTGCTGTATACTTTGATATAATTTAGCAGAAGTCGCAGAATTCTTTTCGAGACCCGATGGCAAGGCTCACAGTGATTGGTGGTGTATGCTCAACTTCAACCAGAATGAATCTTCTTCATTGCTGAATCTTTTGGGTCAGTTTAAACAACCAATCACCATTAAGTTGGCTAAAAGATAATTTGTTTGGCAAGCAATTGCGGAATTTCTATCAATTTGCATAGCTGTAACCTTGACTTTAACCAATCAACTTTCTTCATGTTATTAACTGACAATTATGCCTTCATGGCTAGCCTTCTACAGAATTACTTTCATATCTTTTTATTCGCGTTTTCAGCTTGCAGTAAAAGCAAAGATAAATTTTTCGTATATTCACAATCAGGGGACGAGTGGCGTAGTGGTATGAGGCGCCGCTATGACCAGATCGGACACAGGTTCGATCCCCGTCCCTGGGCCAACCAAGCCCTCTACCCTCCGGGGCCGGTAAATTGGTACCAAAGCAATCTGGGAGGATAAAAGCACTGACTTGGAAACGGCTGGCCCCCGCAAGTCACTGTAATAGGCTCGCACGCATACAATTGCCTCCTCGACTATGAAGTTAGTGTGTGCGTTCGGCGCATGCCCTCAGAGGGTATTGAAGACGCCGAATCCTTTATCCTTTTTATCCTTTTATATTCACAATCAAATACAAACATGCTATCAAAATCATATGTGTGCATTATTTGTACATTCAACATCTAAATTCAATTCTTTTTTTGCTGAGGATTTAAAAATCTAAGAAAAAAACTGCATTTTCCACTTTTCTTCACCATTTTGTCATCCGAAAAAAAAAACATTACTTAGACAAAGACCTCTAAACCTCCTTGGACGCTAATTTTAATAATGTCAAAAAGTTCATACAAAATCATGCCAGTTTTCTTCACGCTCTCAAATACGGCCGACATACGTAATTTATTAGTCAATTCAATATACATTCGTTGATATTTTTGTTTTATCGGTGCATTAAGCGCTACCAATGAGGAAAACCAAATACCACCAGACTGATAAATACTTGCACTAACTAAAAACATTAAGAACATGATTCTATTGCAAGTTAACTTTAAATTGCTATAACCTTGGAAGAACATATTTGGTCAAAAATCTGATGAGGTTTCATAGCAAATTGTGAAATGCGTCAAACTCAACTTTACTGTTACTTTTTGATGTTAGTGTTAATGAGCAGCCAATCAAATCAGGTTGAATTACATTTATAATGTGAAAATGCACATAAGCGAAAGGTTAGTTGAAAATTGCTATTCAACTTAGCTTCCCATCAATTTCACAAGTAAACATGCGTCAATGACAGTAGATGCCTAAAAATCAGTTTTGGTTGTTCTCAAAGCTTTCAAATACCTCATGAAGAGATTAGCTACCCGATGTTCTAATATTCTTGGACAGGAAAGACTCTTGAATTCTCATTGTCTTCGTTTACAATTTTTTATGGTAGTTTCAAAATCTTAATTTTGCATCTAAGCGTATACTACTTTTATACTGTTACAAACTCTTGTATTGCCTCCTACAAACTTGAAACAGCCGAGCAAACGTTCAACAATGTCTTTCGGTTCAGATAAAATTTTTATATAATAATCATTCTTGCCTGCAAACTAACCAAGGATTGTGTAGTGAACGAAATAGCACTGGCAATTTGTCGTTGAAAACTCCACCTCGATATCAAAGTTTTTGAAATGTTAACACTTCAGCGAACAAACCCTAAGTGTTCATGAATAGCCACATGATTGCTGGTCTTGACTTTGTACATTGTAATGTGAAATCAGCACTCTTTTCGATATCTTTACACTCTTAGTTATTTGAACACGGCTATTATTGGGTTTTCCCAAAAGTAAACCTTTATTACAAATAGATCAACTTGTTTTCCATATTCTATCTTTCTGCATCTATTATTTTCTGTTTTTTGGCACACCGCCTAGCAAGAAACACGATTATTTGATCTTGTTTTTTGTTTTCCTCGCACATTTGGGGTACCGTTCGATAAAGCAAAGCAAGCTTTAGGAAACGAACACCAAAGAACCACCTAAGTCGTAGTCCAGGGTATGGAGCCAAAATCGAGAAAAATTGCTATTTAAAAATTGAATTCTTGCTGAAAAGAGACCTACGAGTTTTCAACTTAGTCAACATACAGAAGATACATGATAGTATCAGTAAATGCAAGGGAAACCAAAATGGCAAACTTCACCCCTCTTCCCAGTAAGTGATTGTCTACTGCACACCTTAGTCAAAAATAATTTTGAAATTATATCTCTGTATGTACTTTTATAATTGAGAAGTATTGAGTTCAACATAAAAATCACAAACCTGACATCCTTGCATTCTGGAATTATTTTTCTTAATTTTGAGCCTAGAAAAATCAGCAAATGTATCTACAAAAACTACTACATACGTGTATGTCATATTATGACAAGGTTAAATCCATAGAAGCTTTCTGCAAGTATACCCGATTTTTAAGGAGTGAAAATTTTTAGTTTTTGACTTACTCTTGGTACAACTTAATGAGTCCCAATGTAAATCATCAAAGAAGTGAGGAAATAGCAAATATAGGAAAGATCCCCTTACCCCCACCATCGAGTTAAATCTATTAGTAATACGCTTGTGGGTTGGCAAAATATATCAGTCTAGTCGCTAAGGAGAAGCTCTAGATAAAACTAACCGCTCTATTAGCTTTGGATATGGGCACATGTAATCTCGTGAAGGGACGGAGCGCATGTGCATAAAAAAATGGCAGTATGAATTACCAACTCTTCGGGTAAATTCCAATTTCACATTATTTGGGCTTTTTTGTTTTTTTTTTTTTGACAGATTTAGGATACCATTCGGTAGAGCGCAGCAAGCTCTACAAAAAGACTACCAAAGTTCCATGTAGTTCGTAACCTAGGTAAATTTTGGAGCCAAAAATCAAAATTTTTCGCTACCCTAAAAATCGGATCTCCTTCCAGAAACTTCCTACGGACTTACAACTTGGTCTTATATAGTAGACACATAGCAGTACCCAAAAATGTATTTGGTGGATTTTTTCCGGGGCTCAAAATTGAGAAACAAAGGTGGTCCAAAAATGCCAAAATGCCGCTTTTACCGGGTTTTACATGTAAAACTTGTTATTGCTCGACTATAGGAGCACATACAAGGGTAAGGTTTTTAAATTATACTTAGTAAGGCTTGTAGTATACAATGACATATGTGGGAGGAAAGGGGGCTGGGGGCGGAGTTTGCCATTTTTGGACAATTTTTGTTTCTCGCTTTCTATGCTAGAAAAAATTTCGGCAAAGGCATATTTGTGTACTACTATATGCCAACGGTATAAAGACCAAATTGGAGGTCTGTAGGATTCCTTGTCGCAGAAATCCCATTTTCAGGTGACAAAATTTTTTTCGATTTCGGCTTCAAACTTTATATGGAAGGCGACTTAGGCGGACCCTTGGCGGTCATTTTGTAGAGCTTGATCTGCTCTAACGAATGATACCCTAAATATACTAGGAAAACAAAAACAGCTTGACTTATTCAAATTTACTTTCGGGACAACCTAACCTACCTACTTATAATTCTTTCATGTAAAAAAAGGTTATTGCTGACTAAATCCACCTTGTTCGATGTTCCAGTTGAATGTAAAATGTTCGGCTGAAGAGATGCGTACAAGTAATTGAGTTCATTTGTCAGAAAAATTTTACAAAACGGTTGCCGATATACGTGCGCAATTCCTTTTTCAAGAAAATTTTTTTTTCAATGTATGCTCAATAGAATCATCGACATCATTCTTTGGCAGCGTTACTTCTACTCGAATCAGTGTGTGCTGAGACGCATTAGCTCAAGCTGTTTTTATTTTGCGCTTACATTTAGGAATAATTTGATGATAAAGTCATATGTCCGGTTTGGCCACGTCACCGCCAACGGTTCTGTGACATTTAACATCTCCGACATGAATTATTAGTAATGGCTTATTACACAAGCGTGATAATAGAATTACCGTACGCAATTCGAAATGAGAGCATAGGAATACGTGGCAGTCACGCCTCCCGATTTCGACAAGCATTTTGCAATAAAAAGGGTGTCCATCTCTATCAGGACATTCAAATATGTCTAAAATCTACATAGTCATACTGACGGTAATTTTCTTTCCCCTCAAGTTAATCAAACGAGAATTGGCATCTTAATCTCATTATTTTCAGGTGACTGTTCTACTGCCAGTAGTTTGCAATGGTGAGCTTCTTAGTAAAATAGTCCCCACTCATGGAAACTCTTTCAGCTGGCGAGTGTACGGATGGTACAGCGACTGGCAATAATGCCACTGAGTTTCTCAAGTTTATAAACGGATATAGAGAGAAACTGCGCGAAGGAAACCAGACTAATGGGCAAAACCAAACTCTTTTGCCGGCAGGCAATATCCAAGACGTGGTAAGACTTCAATGTAACGTCTTCATTATTTTCCATATTTAAAAAATGCGCGTCTACATAAGCAAAAACGATCGAAAAATGTACTATTGGACTAATCTCCCTCAAATGATACTTTGCTTCGCCCTGCTTTCGTTCCAAATTTTTTTTGCGCTCTGCCTGAATCTGAAGCGTTTGTCGTCAAGGGACTAAGTGAATGATAAGGAAGTGCGCCTAGTCCCAAGCATCTGCAAATGACAAGCTCATCCCGAACTGCAATGAGATAACAAAATTTCGCGGTTGCGTCATACAGGATATAATACAATGGTTCGCGAACATACGCTTTGTTTTCCCCACTTTCAGGTATAAAAGTTCTTAAGAATTAGAGTTCGCGCTCCCTTCCATACAAGGAGCTCTCATTGATAATCGTGAATTTCGTCAAAAACTTATGTCTCTCAGATTAGATATATTAGGCTGTTGAGAAAGTTCCGCCAAATCCTCTCATTATGTATTATCAAAGATGAATGTGAATGCAAGGGATTGGTTTTTGGGATATGTTCTTAGTGTGCGATGGCCTTATCAATCAAATACGCTAATTTCAGTTCGAAAAAATAGCGAACCAAGAAGAAATGCCCAAAAATGGAGAAAAGTTGCGCTTAGGTCTGCAAAAAAACCGCACTTTTCAGATTATAGACGCGCAAAACTTGCAGAAGCTCGATTTGGAAATCCATTTTATACTCTTTGTGTTGGAGATGAAGTGATATTCGATTATAACTCGCTCCGGTATCTGGAGCTTCCAAGCAAGAAACAGCTCATCGATTGCAGGGATCAATCAAGTTCCTTACCTGTTTTGAGACGCAGCCAGCACACTTTTCGGAAAAGAACATATTATACATGATTTAAATAAAAAAGCATAAGGATATCCACACGACTATCGTTGATTGGCAGCCACTTATGATAAAAACCAATTTTGGTCAACCTCTATCGACAGAACTTTCTTTACCACCTGATATCAAAAATGTTAGTCAGTCTCCGCACTCGTTACTTTAACAAAGCTTCCAGGAGTGGGATTGCACTTTGGAGGAAGAGTTGCAAAAAGATTTGGAAGGCTGGACTTGTGGCCAAATGAAAGATAAGTACGAACCTTCAGCTAGTATAAGAGATGCTCATGCAACTGAGTGGAACTCGTGAGTAAACCACATAAACCAGGCTTGTTTAGGTTTTCACTTTTCTCAAGTCTTGCTTATCTTATCACCACACCCAAGATTTATTCAGCTCGAAATCAGTCCTCCTCTACAAGTTTTCCTGAGCAGTTCACCGACTCAAGTGCTGTTCGTAAAACCTAAATAAAAAGAAACAAAATGTTTCAGAATTCTTCTTGTTACAAGTTGTTGGCTATGCAGTCTAAAACAATATTGGGCTAGAAAAAAAAGAACTCCGCTTTTTATGTCCTCATTATGGCATCGCAACAAGGCAAACCCCAAACATGTATGGAATACCATTCGATATAGCAGAACAAGCTCATAAAATATGTATACTTCTTTCGCACGAAGTTTGAGCTATGTGACGTTTTAAGACGAAAACTGAAAAGTTTTAAATGATCGAAAAACCAAAAAATGTTGTATCTTTCCTTCAAAGATTTCTACGGACCCTCAACTGCTTACGGATATACCTTCATCAAACATTCATACGTGCAACTTTTGTTAGCTAGACATCGAAAAATTGTGAAAAGTTTCAAATTTCTGCCAATGCTATGCTGAACTGTTCCAACGTAAGTGATTTTATACTACTTAGCTGGAAAGTATAACCGTAGATTATCATTCATTTACAAGCGTTCATTCTCGAGAAATACCAAATTTGGCCTTCTTCCGTTTTTTTTGGTTTTGATAATTTTTGTGAGTTAAAGCATGTGAAAGGGCTGCACATCTATACTTCCCAGGCGAAAAAGTATAGAATTACCCATGCGGGACAGTCCAGCATCACTTAGGCAAGAACACGAAAATTTTCAGTTTTTCGGTGTTTAGCTAAGGAAAAATTACACCAACTGCACATATGCGTGAAGGCGAAATTTTTTGGACGGAGATACGATTTTTCTTTCATTTGGAACTTTAGTTTTCGCTTCGAACTTCACATGGCTCAAACTTTGTGCGAAAGCAGTAAAGTTATTCTGAAGAGCTTGTTTTGTACTATCGAATGATTTCATAATGTTTCTGGGATTACCTTGTTGTGATGCCACAACGGGGGAATAAAAAGTAACTTTTTTTTTCTAACCTAATATATCATGATACTCTAGTCATAGCAAAGCTAGGAGGTTAACGATATTACTTCAGTGACTATTACGATTATAACGACGGTTCTCACGATTGCGAATTCCAAGGGTGGAAGGACTTCTTGTTTGAAACTATGAAGACGATCGATGATATTACCAAACAAGCCTTTCTCATTGATGGCGAACAGGTCAAACTACACGATGACTCGTTTAGTACCGTACATAAATATGCAGAAGTGAGTACTATTAACGTTTACCAGTTTTTCTAGAGTAAAAGTCACCATTCAGTGGATGCGATCAGCTGTCACGAAAGTAGCCTGTGCCGTGAAAAAGTGTTCAAAAGCTGATACAGGATCAGCCCCTGAATATGCGCTTGTATGCGCCACAAATCAACCGTAAGTGTTTTCGGTGATCGAACACCAGTGCCGAGCAGAAACTGGATGCAAATTGCGAATTTAGTTGCAAACGCTATTTACTTTTGCAAAAACCTTCCTAAATGTTAGAAACGCCATGCGCTTAGAGCTATCGTGTACATAAACTAAAATTGAGGTTCAAACAAATATAAAGGAATGAGACATTCGAAAGTATGTACCAAAGTTTGCCTGTATGTGGCCACAACTGAATAGCTGACCGATCTTAGGAAAAAGAATTAGTATGCACTGTCCAGCACGAAAGTGACAAAAACCACAAACGACTCCTTTTCCCCCCTCCTTCTCACTATAAAATCGAAATTTCAAGAATTTTTAGTAAACGCCAGCTGTACCGCATTTCTCAATCAGAACGCGATTTTTATTCTTGAGGCTCGAATTTTCTGCATTTTTTCGCTGCCTACCAGAGAGGAGAGAAGGGCTTTTGAAATTTTTCACTGTAGTTTACGTCAAGCCTAGATTTACTAGATTACTGGATTTTCCCAAACAGCTTGCCTTCGGAATTCATTGACATTTTGTTCCTCTAGCCTAAACCAAATATGCTGCCATGTCTTCGCCTGTCCACTGGGTAGAAGCCATTTACTATATATACGTATATATTTCAGTTGTTGCGCCGTTAAAATGACGATCGAGCAACAACTATGTGATTTCAATTAATGCTTGAGTGTGTACTTTTCTGTTATAGAACAGAGCAATAGTTGAACCAAGAATTTTGGTTATTTGAGAGGAACAAAGCAAACTGCCACACATCTTGTGATATCTTCGACCTTCAAATATTATCCTAATTTCAAGAGTACAAGACGCACCTACTTTTTTTCTAAGCTCCACTAGGGTGAATACAATAAAAACTTTCACGACCAGAGCCTCCCTACCGTATTTTCCTTAGCTAGAAGAATTATATGGGAGAGCTACTGTTTCGCGAGGTTCATCAGTGCGACGAGTTGCTCAATTGAAAAACAGTGCGTCTTTTACTCAAATTAGGGTTGTTGAAAAAGACGTAATTTTAGCTTCATGCCACTTCTTTAGACTATATATTTAACTTGAAATTGACTTATTTCTAAATTTTTTCAATCATTATTGTATATTGAACAGTTGGGGGGAAAATGTGATGGAAAGTGGTCTTGAAGGCACCGTCTATCCAAATTCTCGAATTCCATGTTTTTGTCACTTCCAGGCCTTCTGAAGGCCGTGATTTCGAATATGAAGTCAAGAATTCGCAAAACCCCCAAAAATCCCAGTTTTGGAGAACCCGCTACAACAAGCGCAAGCGAGGGAAAGCCTGCGTGGGCGGGGCGACCAGCTGGGTGGAGTGACACCTCCAGGGGCGGTATTTATCAATCTCCCGCTCGCTGTTCAGGCGGGTTGCATCGTTACACGCGGCCCACACAGCCGAGAGTGTTCAACCCGTACTTTGGTTAGCATGGCCCTGGCAGAAAAAGCCCGAGTTGTTGAGATCGCGCCTGCCGTGCCCGACATGGCCAAACTTGCCTGATCGGATCTCTTGAGCCCATGCACTGTCCTAAGTGTGAGGTCCAGTATGGTGACGGGAAACTCTGATAATTACTGTGATCCACTCCAGCCTTCTATTTCATACAGTTTGATATGTTTTGTTTTAATTCAGCCAAGAAACAAGACTTTACTTGATTTGTACATTTCTGAAATTTTGACTTATCCCTATGTTTTAAATACACAATACAATGATATTCAATGTTTTACTAATATTTAGGACAATTGGCAGTTTTCGGCACTTTCCAAAAAAGTGACTTGGACTCCTCAATCTGACTTTGCTATTGTTGAAATGATTATCACAGGCGCACATCAATACAAAAAAAACTGTGCTCGAGGATCAAAAGGGAAGAAAAACAATAAAAATCAATGGATTTCAAATGTTTGCGATATGCAAAGTTTACGTTAGCCGGCGTTTTTGATATGCGCCCGCTCGCGCTGCGGGCGTACTGCCTTCCACAGTAAGTCCGCGAACATGCTTGAGAGGGAACAGGAGATTGATAAATACATACCACCCCAGATTTGCTCCTCCCGGAGTGGATTTTTCGCTCCGGAAGCAGTCCTTTGCGGCGCAAAGGCGCATTGTATTAAGTGCAGAAAAAAGTAGTTAAATTTTTTTGGAACAATATTATCGGATCGAAAATGAACATCGCTTTTAAGTGGCCCAATATTTGGAAATCTCAGAATTCGCTCAAACTTGGCCCACAGGGTTATCTGACATACAAACTACGAAAATAATGCTCCCATGTTTTTAGGGCTCTTTTATTATGCTTACTGACGTAAAGGCTACTGCATGACGAAGGCGCATTACCTTTGGGCGCAATTGCGGCTTATTAGCCGCAGAGCGCATGAGGCGCAGGATTTACAACGGTGAAGGTACGCGCGTGCAGCGTTCGCGCCCACCCAGCTACAGTCGATTTCATCCCGGATTAGGCGAACATTCTAGGTGGAACAGCGCATACGCATCGCTGGAGGCTTCGTGAGCGCATAGCGTGGCATTTTGCCAAGCAAAGACTAAGGGAATGGAGAGACGCAGGCTTGGGTTCTCAGCACGATATGATATACTGTAGCTGCGAAACAGCGCGAACTGTTGCGGGGCGGACCCCGCCAATTCAATTTCCGCCTAAAGCGGGCCGGAACTTACTGTAATATTGCTTCTGCGCCTTCATCATGCAGCAGCCTCAATATACGATGGTGAACCAAAACATCAATGTGCTATTTTGCATGGTGGGCCTAGTTGACGTTGATAATGATTATGATGTTATTGCTAACCGCAGAATCACTTAATGACCCCCTCTCCTTGACCCTTACTACGACCCCCCCCCCCGGGTGTGGCATGCCACAACTCAGGCTTGACCCTGCGGATCACTCCAATAGAATTGGCTACGAACTTCTGCATTTGCTTGAGAAATCTATGAATGCAGAAAAAGGGAAGGGTGAGGGAGTTCTGCACTCTTGTTCTACCCAGGGAATGCTGTCCCTAGAGATGGGTGAATACACAGATTTTACTTCTTATTTTCCAGCAAGTATGTACACAGTAGAAGAAGGTAATGTGGGGAGTAATTTCAGGTTGTCCCATAAGTTCCGTCCTTTTTGTCTTTTAACCGCAACAAATGTGTACTCTTTATAAAAAATAGGTGTTACAATACCATTTGATAGAGTAAGCCTACGAGATGACAAGCTTGTCTTATTACCAGCTCTCATCCATCTGAAGTTTCAAACCGAAAACTAAAAATATTCAAATGCCCATAAAATCGAGGAAATGTTGTAAAAAGAATTGTGACTTCAAAAATCCTACAAAAATCTAACTTGCTCAGGTTAGCATTGTCAAGGCTCGTACTATACGCCGTTGTAGTTTCTTTTGCTCAGTTCAATCAGAAAAACAAAGGTTCTTACGCCTTTTCCAAAGTGGTGCTGCGCTGTCTGCACATAAATGAGTGTATACTACAAATTTGTAGAAGAGCAAACGAACCATGTGACAACGTAAGGTGGAGACATGCTTCAATTTGTAAGAAGCATGTCCAATAAATTTGATGAAATGAAAAAGACCGGTGGCCCGACTAGTCATAAAAAATTAGAAAGTACTTAGTTTATTGAAACCAAAACTATCCAAAAAGGTTGATTTTGGAAGAAGTTATGATGTTTGGACTCTGAGAGTTCGAATCGGACAGAACTTATGCAGCAGCCTAATAGATCACAAAGGCACTGACTGGAGTACTCGATCTCTCCTGTAAATCCAAAAATCGCAAATTTCGAGGGGTGTCGTAAAGTTATGAAATGCGCTGTATATTGGTTATTTTTTCTCAATTATGAGTAGTGAACCAGTAATTAAAGGTGCTGAATTGCATCCACGCACTTCGGAACCGCACCGCGGTTTTTTGTATTTGATGTTTTTTGAATTCGCGTTGCGATTCTTTATATATTAGATTTTATTGTCCTGGAGCTATCCATTGCGAACTTGGAGGAAAAAAGTTTTTATGACCATTCGAAATCGAAATCTTTATATGTTAAGATTTTACAATCATTACCGTCCTTATGGAAGAACTGAAAAAAAAAACAGTGAACTGCGTCGCAAACATCCATTACAGACCATTTAAAGAAGGTGAAGATAATGTGATCTACGACGTCGCCCCCTCTACAACAAGTACAACAACGACTATTGCCACAACTACTACTACTCCCGTTGCACCCACTACTACTGCACCCACCACCCTAGCACCCACTACCATTGCACCTGCAACTGCTGCTACCACTAAACTTGCGACCACGGCAGCTAAAGAATCCACGGGAACTCCGTGCCCCACGTATTCCACCACACCGTGTCCGACATATTCCACTACACCGTGCCCCACGTACACCACTCCATGCCCGACCTATCCGCCAGCGAGATTAAAAAGGGAGGCGGGAACTGCAAATGAGAATGTCTTCAAAAAGAAAGCGAAATTCTCCAAAGCTACATCAGGTAAGCAACTTTGCAGTATTCTAATGGTAGCTATCTAAGATTCTGAAAGAACAATGCTTTATTGATTAAAGAAAATACCACAGCAGTAATTTTTTAAATACTACGCAGCATAATTGAAAGCGTAAGAATCCCTAGACAAAATCACATTGTCAAAAGCGCATGGTGGTTACAGAAAAATTAGGGATCACATAATTGTATACCTAAAATTCATATAGCTGCAGATTTTTCGCTATGTGGGTTTTTCTTTCTCAGAATGCTCCAAGATCTTTCTCAATGCATCGTCGCGAACATTTTGTCAGCGCTTGATTTCAGTCCTAATTTTGCAATTTTCTAAGAAATGGAGTCGGATGATCCAAATTTTTACCTACTATTTGCTTTGCCATTTAAGTTTCGGTGCAAAATTGGTGCAAAATTTTACGCTTGTATTCAGGTAATATTGATACATACATAAATAATAGCTATACATAGGTAAAAGTTTGAATATAGATAATACTTTCCTTCCATGAACTTCATCTACTGTTTTATAGTTCATACATGTGAAATTTTAGGTGAGAACACAATTTGTTCCAGCAATAAAGGAATGACAGACTCGTTGAGAACGCTTTTCCTTAACATGCATAATTATCGCAGGTAGCGTAAGTCGGATTTCGTATTTATAATCGATTTGCCATTACCCAGTAATCGTAAAAATTTAGAGCTAAGCTAGCTCTGGGGGAAGTTATCGGTTACGGTCAACAGCGCCTGTCACCAGCTAAAAATATGTTGAAACTGGTAAAGCATTGCTATTCCCACCAAGAATCTAATTTATTTTCCTTGTCAGAGCTATGCCTGTAAACTAGAAGCATCGGCACTGCGCTACGCTGCTCACTGCCCATCAATGAGATCTAAAGCAAATGCTAGGCCGAATCAGGGAGAGAACTTTTTCCGTCTTGCAAAAGTCGGATTCCCAGATTTCGCTGATGCAGTCAACATGGTAATTTAAGCATTAATTCTGGAAAGATCTTAACACTATTCGTCAGACTGTTTACAACTGGTGGGACGTTGTCAGGGATACTCCTGGCATTGACAAAAATGCAAAACTTCAAACTCGTCGCCCCCGCTCTCCTATAGTATCTTTTACGCAGGTAATAATACAGATAAAGGGCTCGAATTTTCAAAAAATAGAATTTGAATATATATTCACAGATGGCATGGGCAACGACAAGATATTTGGGCTGCTCCATAGCTGACTGTAACTCATACTATGTCACCGTTTGCAGATACTCACCAAAGTAGGTGAATTCTACTGCTTATACAATCATCAATTTTCCCACATGATTTATACAGGGGGCACATTGCTGGAAAAATGGTTTATAAGCCTGGTCCCACTTGCACGGAATGCAAAAGTGGAACAACATGCGAAGAAGAACTGGGGTTGTGTGTATGAGAGCTTGGATATTTGGACAAGAAGAACTATCAGTAACCCTACTCTGTTCCTTTTACTATTTTGTATTATCCATAATACTGAGGATTTAGTTACGAGATCACAATAAACTGCATACTCAGAATATCAACTCAGCTTTGCATCTAAGATCTTCTAAAGGGTTTTGCTGTACTTTAAAATAATTGAGCAAAGTTCGGAGCTTTTTCGGAATCTGATGGTAAGACTCGAGTAATGGTGATATACCCTCAATTTCAAGCTGAACGATTCTTCTTCACTGCTAAATTTTTTGGGTCAGTTTGAAAAAGTCAATGATTATTATCAGGTTGGCTATTAGGTTTCGTTTCGACATGCAGATATGAAACTTTGTAACGGTTTGGATAGCTGTTGTTCAACCAAAATTCCATATAAGAGGCCAAATTCGAACCTATACTTTCATGTATCAATTATTTGGTTCTCTGTCATTGACAAACGACAATTGTGCTCCAAAATAGCTATTTTTTGAATTTCTAAGTCCCATGTTGAGCACCTAGAGAGTGCACAAATCCAAATCAGTGTTTGCTGACTATTATAGAGAGGAATAAGATTGCTTGTATGGCAAACCACAAACGGAGATGTTAATCCGCAGTTTGCGATTTTCTATTTTATATGAGATTTTCTCGAAATTTGCGGTAAGTTCTGGGCAGTGCAATACCCTAGAGTTTGACCACAGATGATCAGGTAAAATTGCAATTATATTGCAATGTTTAAGGAAGAAATCTGATAATCCACTTTCCTGCACCACTATGTCATCAAAGAGAAATCAATGCAAAAATAAGACCGGCTGAGCGAGAGATCCAGCTTGATTTGGTTTTCCGAATTCTATAACATTTGACCTGGTTGAAAGATGTAAATTTGCCTGTCTTTGTTTACGGAAAAATTCATAATGTTCCTCTGACTTTGTCGCGTGTTGCACGCGAGTAGAGACTCGGGAATTTGCTCATCTGTCTAATTACAGCTTATCGGGTCAAGATTTCACAGTAAAATGGAGCTGATCTTCGGTCACAAAATCACCGAGCGTTGAAATCTTTCGGAAAGTTTGAAAAATTTTTTTGATTATTCATCCTTTTGCGTAAGCATGCATTTGTTCTGCAATGAACGTTGCTTTTGCAGTTCTCACTTTCCTGAATAGAGATCGATCTGGGATACAGGTCTTCTTAAAGTTCTGTGACATCAAATCCAAATCAAATTTCGCTGGCTTTGCTGTTACACTACTTTGAATACTTTGACGCAATTAATTTTGCTGCACTTTGTAGTTCTCCTTGAATTACTTTTTTCAGTAGCATTTCTACAAACTATTAAAAAAGCCGGATTTACTAAACAGACTAAAATCTATAATTTAACGTTGCTTATTCTATCTGCGCATTAAGGATGCAATGCTGGGAAAAGAGCAATCATAGACAGATCAATTGCAAGACATGCTTACATGAGCTTGCAATCATAATTACAAACCTAAGTTGTTCCATATCAATATATTCATTATAGCAACAAATTTGCTAAAACCTTGAAGGAACATTTTGAGCAGAGAATAAGCAGACTTCTCAAACTCAACTTTGGTTATTATCCTTCCATGTTGAATAGTTGGTCAAGTCGTTGAATCCATCTACAATGGCACAATGCACATAAGCGAAAGGTTAGTTGCTTGCTATAAAGTAGCTCTCCATCAATTTCACAGACATTTTGCTTGCTTTGTAAAGTAAACATGCGTTAATGACAGCAACGTTGCCTCAAAATCAGTCATATGTTCTTTACAAAGCTTTTCATACCTTATGAAGAAATCAGCTACCCGATGCTCCGACTTCGTTAGAAAAAAAGAGCACCCATGTATTCTAATCTTCTTTAACTAAAATTTTTGGTAATGGTAGTTTCAAACCCTCATTTTTCCCATCTACACGTATACATTACTTTGCACTGTATCACATACTTTTGACTTGTCACCCTTTAGTTTTGAATCAGCCGAGCAAAAAATTGATGATTTCGTTCCTATCACACAGACAATCGCAAAATACTTCCGGGGAAAACTGAATTTCCAAAACATCCGAGGACGCCCTATTGGGGCTGCAAGTTGGGTGCAGCCAGGTAGGTCGGGTCCACCCGGCCCAATAGAAGTGTCCGCCCCGGAAGTTCTGGAAATTCAGTTTTCCCCGAAAGTATTTTGCCATTGTCTGACTAGTAACTAGCTGTCCGACTTCGCCCGGCATCACGTACACTTCGGGAGTCAAAAAACCAAAATCTTGTTCCTCTAAAAGAATAATACAGCTTTCTTTAGTTAGTACTACAATACCGCTCACAGAATGTGCAAAATTTCCGTGAATGTCGCGAAATTCCGAAAATTCCGCGAACTTTCCGGAATTTCGCGAAATTTCGGAAAGTTCGCGAAGTTTCGCGGAATTCCAGGAATTTCGCGGAATTTTCGGAATTTCGCCATATTCACGGAAATTTTGCATATTTTGTGAGCGGTATTGTATAGTGATATCATAAGTGGGCGGGGCTTACAGTTCACAGTTGAAAAGCGAAAAATCGATATTTTGGAGGTTAGTGAACCACCAAATCCTCAAAATTGATACGATCGGTATTCTGAGGGCTGTGAAATTCCGAAAATCGACAAAAATCGATAAAATCGATATCCTGGAGGTTCCGAAATCCCGAAAATTGACAAAAATCGGTAAAATCGATATTTTGAAGGTTGCGAAATCTCGAAAATTGACAAAAATCGATAAAATCGATATTCTGGCAGTTTCGAAGTTTCGGAAATCGTTATCGAAAAACTAAGCGAAAACTTCGAAAAACTCCATAATAAGCTCATTTCCAGTGCGTTTATACAGCTGAAACTCCTCCAAGCAAGCTCCGCCCACTTTACACCCCACATCACGATCGAAATTGAAGAAAATAAGAAAAATTAAGGAAAAATAAGCGAAAATTGCGTTTTTCTAGCCCGATTTACCCCCTTTCTAGCCGCTTTCAGCCCCCTAACCAGGTCCAGATGGCCGCGGGTAACTATCACACGCGCTGCAGAAATAAAGAGAGGGGAAAAATGAGGGGGGGGGGGGAGAAAGAGGAGAAATTGCGAGATTCTGAACAAAAAAAACAAGTCCGGGAAGGTTTATAGATGGGCTCCCACAAGTGGAGCCCCTGCATTTTCTCCGAATTATATGTGGTGTCCCCCTCGAATTCAAACTGAAGAATGGCTATCCCAGCCTGTTATCCCTACTCTCCACGGAGATAAAATTCAAAATATGCATCATCGCTTATATAGCGCCTCCTACGGTGGAGCTACAGCCATGATCTACCCCTAGAAAAATAGAGCTATCAAAAGTACATATCAATGATCACATGTGATTACCCCAACCCTACAACTCGCAGAGATATAAGGTCGCAAACTCGTCTCTATTGACAGATTTCTCAAGTTCAGCTGTCAATTAGGCACTTTTATTGGAAACTTGTTATTCTACGACCTTCTCTCTAAAAATCATATTTTTAAAGATATGTCCAATAAAACAAACTCCAGCCTCATATCTATAATATTCGCAGAGTTATTAGCCCCCCAACATGCATGCTCAGGCCGTAAAATCAGCTCTCCCAAAGTTGCTCCGTAATTCCCCCAAAAATCATGTTAGACACCTCTCTCATACCTATACACCCCATATTTTTTCCAGCTTCTTAGAAGCAATACACACTGATATAGCGCGCTCGCTCTTCACTCTTGGCCTCGGCGCAAGATTTGGTTAAAATATTGAGGGTCTCGGATTGACCGCATACTTCACTCATAGTGGTTTTTGGTCCCAATCTTCACGAAAATCCTATTTATTTTGCACTAGAGAGTCTTACAGTAAAGCTAAAGTGAGATAGAAGTAACTAAACCAATCAAGAGCACAACTTCGCTTGCACTTTTCGCCTACCTGTTGCGGGAATTGTCCGCAAATTTTTGTGAGTTCAAAACTTTGTGAACACCTCTATCGGACTATGCTTAGCACAGATCTTTAATTGAATTGTTCGTCAGATTATGATGTTACAAAATCGCCTTCTCATGAATTGTCTTTCAAATTCGAAACTCGTGTTGGCAGATATTCTATCATACAATGTGTCACCAGCAGCAAAACAATGTAAGAAATGTTGTTAACACGTCGAGTACAATACCGCTCACAGAATGTGCAAAATTTCCGTAAATGTCGCGAAATTCCGAAAATTCCGCGAACTTTCCGTGAATGTCGCGAAATCCGAAAATTCCGCGAACTTTCCGGAATTTCGCGAAATTTCGGAAAGTTTGCGAAGTTTCGCGGAATTCCAGGAATTTCGCGGAATTTTCGGAATTTCGCCATATTCACGGAAATTTTGCATATTTTGTGAGCGGTATTGTATGTTTAGCAAGAAAAAACAGCTTTCTTTGAGCTTAGTATACCGTTTCATTCCTACCATCAGAGGTTTAGTTCTAGGCCCAGGAACTCATCAGTAGGAAAGGACTTTATTGAAATTACTCAGTTTCTTTCTTTGTCCCACTCACCTACCCTGACCGCCGCTAGAGACCAATTTTTTCGGTTTTCGTTTTGCCATTTTTTTGGTTTTGTATCTTTCAATTTTTTGGATTCTCCAATGGAATGGCAAGGCAGCAAATAAATACAGGCCGCTGTACAACATGCATTATGTTATCGCATTGGAATACACTATTGACTGTGCTACCTCTGGGCGCATATATTACAGGTTAGTCGGACTCCTAACCATAGGTGCGATAGTGTGAGAATTTGCTTACCCCTCTTCACCCTTGAACCGGGACCAAGGTGACCCCCAAAAGCCGAGGAAAAAATCAACAGTGCGGTAAGGTTAAGCAAAGGAGATATTTGTACGGGAATTGTTTGTGCACCGAAAAGGAGGAAGAAGATTTATAAGATTCATTTGCGCACTTTTAGAAGATTCATTTGCGCACTTCCAGGAGGAAAAAATAGTAGCTTCTGCAGCTGCAGAGCAGCGTCAGCGAGAAAAGTCCCGTGTTACAATGTTCCCTTCTGGTTTAAGGGAATAATTATTTGCCTACAGTTTGTTCATAGAAGTACTCAGTGAAAGGTGTGCCCAGTGATTTCTGAACACTTACGAGTCTTT